CCCAGGGTCCAGGCCCAGTTCTCCTCTCTGATCCGGGTCAGAACCCTCAGCCCCACCCCCGGGTTCCATGGCAACGGGCCTCTGTTCCCCTCCCCCTCCCCTAGAGAACCCAGTTTCAGTTTGACTCCTGAGTCTAACCAGTTCCTGCGTCAGACAGGGATGAGCGGAGGGCAAGTGGGAACAGAGAGGGATGAGAGAGGAAAGGGGAGGCTGGGACGGTGGCGGAGGCAGCTGTGAGAGAAGAGAGATGGAGGAAGGAGGCCGGGGAGAGGGGAGGAGAGAGGCAGGCTCAGGGGGAGAGGGGGACAGAGTTCCAGACAGGCCACAGAGTGTGCAGAGCGGGAGGGCCGCGGGGCTGGGGCGGTGCTGGGGAAACTGAGGGAGAAGGCGGGGAATGGAGCCAGGGAGGAGAGGGACGGGGAAGCGGAGGGCAGAGAAGCCCAGCAAGAGGGAGGAGAGGGCGGGGGGCAGTGGGGCCGAGAAGTGGGGAGAGAGTGAGCAGGAGAGAGCCGGGGAAAGGGACCCCAGGAGGCAGGGAGAGGCCAAGGCAGGCGCAGTGAAGTGGGGAAGAAGGCGCTGGGAGGCACAGGAAGTCCCCGAGGTTAGGGGCACCAGGGTCACCATGTGGTCTCCGCCTTCCAATTCTTTATTTCCCCTCCCGGGCTTCAAAAACGAAGAGGAAGCAGGGAGAAGGACCGGGGGTGGGTGGCCCAGGCAGAGCCCTCCTTCCCACCTTCCTGAGACACCCCCCACCCGCCTTCCCAGGATGCAGCAAGAGGTGGAGCCTCTGAGTTCCGCCCCCCTGGGCAGCCCCCGCGTGCACAAGGAGGCAGGTACCCGCTGGGCCTGGGGGGTGGCCCCAGCCCTCCGCGTGGTCCTGAGCGAGCCACGGGCATTCTCGTTCACAGAGTCCTGGACAGTGGCTCCTTGGCCTCCAGCTACACTTCTCACAAGCCTCTGCAGGCCCCTGGCCAAGCCTCTGAGCCCAGAACTACATTTCCCATGACCCTCTGGGCCTCAGCAATTGT